CCATACCCTTCCTCCCAAGCATGGACCAATTCATCAATCACAGGCTCTATGAACACACCCATATTATTCCCTGGGTGTCCAGGAATTATCAACGACAAGAATACGTTCTGTCGTTGAAAGCATACGCCGGGGGGAGATTGAGGGGGATAACGAACATGGGCCAACATGTGCATGGGGCAGCCATCATTCTATAAGGATTGAACCCATCTGTTGCCAGTGCAACACGTACATTACGAGCCTCTTTAGCTTTGTCATGATGAATGCCATCAAAGTGGGTCCATGCTTCACCATCGGATGCATGTACCATCCTGTTAGGATTGTATCGTTTGCCATTTTTGTGCCATGTCATCTATTTTGCGGATTCCTCGGTCATGTATAGCCGTTGGATCCTCAGTATGAAGGAAGGTGCCGTAGGATTGTCACAGGAATGTCAAGCTGCCTCTTCTGGCCATCACCAGAATCTACCTCTAGGAACCTAGAGGATTTACACTTTGGACAGTACTTTGCTTCCATGTATTCTTTCCTAAATAGGACGCACCTTTTTGGGCAAGCATGTATCTGCTCATACGGCATCTTAAGTGCATGAAGGAGTTCCTATGACTCGTGCATGCTCTTTGGCAGAAGGTGACCCTCCAAAAGCATGTTGCCAATAACTGTCAACATACCATCGAAGGCGCCTCGACTCAAGCTATACTGGGACTTTAACGACATTATGCATCCAATGGCATCTAGTTGAAAAACCTTTGTCTAGCCGTGAAGGGGTTTCTGTGCCGCGGCAAACATGTCGTAGAACGCCTTTGTGGTTGCCTCTGGCTCCTCCTCCCTACGTCCTTTAGCGAACTGAGCCTCGTGATAGTCATTTAACATGTTTGCTACTCTGGCATCAGCATCATAATCCTCGACGCGTGGTCTCACCACCTTCTCTCTCATACGATCGGCTTCACCATGGTAGACCCACTGGGTATAGTCTGCCATAAATCCATTCTTCCAAAGATGTTCGCCCATGACCTTCTTCGTTTGTCTTTTCCTGTTTGCACATTTGCTGCAGGGACAACAAATTTTACTCGCTCCTTTAGCAGCCACGCCAAATGCCCATTCCAAGAAAGCATCGGTCTTGTCGATCCATTTATTGGTGACCTGACCCTAACTTGCGCGGCCCGTGTACATCCGCTCACGGTCCTCCATCCTCTAACATATATAGCGGCAAGTAATATAAACATCAATTGCATCTACATGACGTTCCTACTATCTAATACGGGAGGATAGGTCCTAACCCCACACGTGGATCCGTAGATGAGGTTAGTTTCCATGCTCTACTCCTATCCGAGACAGAATTTTGGCAGCACCTCCCCGCTGTTCTCCAAATACACGTCCTGCCAGGGAGAGTGTGTATCCAGAGAACAACAGGGAGATGATGTTGAAACTCTGTCTCGGATCGGAACAGACCATGAAAACTAACCACACCTACGCATCCGCGAGCTGTCCAAAAACATGGACAATTTGAAGCAGATACGGTTTTAGATATGGAAATATCTGCATATTTCCAACCGTATCTCTTTCGAATAGGAGACGCCTAACTGGGTTACGTGATCTACGACCATGATACGGAAAGAGGGTTATACCTAGGGTGGCGGTGGAGTCAGGCTAGTGGGGCCGTGGCGGGTTGGTGCAGTGGCGAGGCGACGCGGTGCAGGTAGACCCGCAGCGGCGAGGAAGGCGATCGGGGTCGCCGAGGTACTCCGGCTCCGCTCCGTCGGGCTCTTCTCTGCAAAAAAAGAAACATAAAACTGTCAATACAAAATTTCGACAGCACCTCCCCTGCACGGTGAGGTTTCCAAAACCTGCAAGAAAACCAACGGCACGATGGCCGACATGCATATATATATGAACGGCACGATGGCCGACATGCACAAGATTATATCCAACCATAGAAGAGGAAATGTACAATTGGTATTGTAAATCGAGACTATATATAATTGGTATTGTATAAATTTGCTACTGCCATCTACTGAATATACATTGGATCGACATCTGCATATCCTAAATATACATTGGGTCCACATATGCATATCGTTTCCAAAAATTGACGAAATAAAAATAGAGTAGGCAGAGCATACCTCCGGTTGAGGCTCGTGGAGGACGGCGCCGATGCAGCTTCCGTGCAAGGGAGAGGGCCGTACGTGCAGGCGTTGCTGCTGCCGGTTGCGTGAGGGTGAGGCGCGACACGAGGAAGTCTCCTGGTGAGGCTCTAGGCGGACGTCACTAGTGTAGCTGCAGTGCGAGGGAGAGGGCTGAGGCGAGTGCGTGGGTGCTGTGGGGTTGCGCGGAGGACCGGCCAGTGTGGCCGCGAGGCCGCTGCGTGGAGGGTAGGCCGGGGCGGCAAAGAGGACTGTGCCATAGATCGAGCGAACCAGGACAGCGGAGAGGACTGGGACGGTAGGCACGATGGTGCCTCCTCCTCCTCCTCCTCCTTCTTCCTCCTTCCTCCTTCTTCCTCCTCCTCTTCCTCCTTCCTCTTTCTTCCTCCTCTCCTCCTCCTCTCTTTCTCCTCCTCCTCCGGCGGCGCTGGAGCGGGCAGGCGCGGGTGCGGGCGGCGTGAGCGCGTGCGCGGGCGGCAGCGGCGCTGGCGCGGTCTGCCTATGTGCGTGTGTGCGGTGTGTGTGGGTTGGCTGGGCCGAAGTGGTAAATCCCGCCTTTGCCGAGTGCCCCCGATTTGGCACTCGGCAAACTATTTTTTTAATTTTTTTAATTTCTTTGCCGAGTGCCACCCGGCCTGTCACTCGGCAAAGAGGGGTTTTTAAAAAAAATTAAAATTCTTTGCTGAGTGCCGTAGGTCCTGGCACTCGGCAAAGAGGCTCATTTGCCAAGTGTCTTCTCCTGACAACTTGTGCGAAACCTCCTCAAATTTTTATCACAGCCTTCATATATGATATCATGACATCTTGACAAGTTTCATGATTTTCGGACTTCGTTTGCTTTTTATAGAATTTAAAAACAACTCGACCGCAAGTTCGTGGTCATGTTTCGTGAACAAGATGTTCGAAATTGGTGGTCGGATCCTGGATACGGCCTCACATTATACTAAATAACATGAATATCATTTTTCCATCCATTTTTTTCATTATTCAAATGACTCGCAGTTATAATTTGAATTATCCAAGAAAATTCAATTCAATGAAATAAATTAAAGAAATATAGAAAAAGTCCAAGAAATGTGCCACATTGGAACATGGAGTACCAGGTATTGTATGAGAACTGCAGAAAAAGTTTGGAGGTCAAAAGTGAAAAAAATATAGTTTGCCGAGTGTCAAAAAATGACACTCGGCAAATCACCACTTTGCCGAGTGTCAGGAGAAGACACTCGGCAAAGGGTTAACGGCGGCGGCCCTTTGCCAAGTGTTCTGGTTTGCCGAGTGCCCAACACTCGGCAAACCTGGTCTTTGCCGAGTGTTATTATTTGCCGAGTGCGCGGCACTCGGCAAACCAACTCTTTGCCGAGTGCCAGTTGTTTGCCGAGTGCTTTCTCTCTGGCACTCGGTAAATATCTTCTTTGCCGAGTGCCCGATAAAAAGCACTTGGCAAAGTATGGGACACTCGGCAAAGAAGCCATCTCTGGTAGTGTTTCTTGAGTGCCTACTTGAATATCAATCTTGAAACCATTCAAACTTTGATGTCTTATTTTCTTGGAATGCAATGACCTTGATCAATTTTCTTCATCCTTGGATATATGAAAACGATTAGTGTGATCAAGTAACCTATCATTGCTCTTTGATGAATATGAAATCCAATATCAACATTCTTAATTTGATTTAGCAAGCTCTCTATGTGTGATTAATGCATAGTCATGTGCCCTTCTTCATTTAATAATTATGCTTGCTCTTAGATCAACTATATGAAGTCCTAATTTCAATAAACCATAGTATGAACAAGCTTCATGTGTGAGACAGTTTGATATACTTCAATCCATGTCTCTCTTTTGTCATTCATTTCATTAATCTTGAACTTATTTTTCATTTGCATGCCATTTGCTTTATTTGAGCCCAAATACAACGATCAACTTGGGATTAAACACTTGCATATAATATCATCAAGTATATTACTCCCTTAACAGTGTTTTCATTCAATCCGTCAAAACTCACTTAGGATCTAGATGCACGTTTACTAAGTGCCCAAGTTAATTAAGTCTTCTTTTCACTATTGGGTACATAAGATGTCTTCTAGACTCCATGTAGTTGGCCGGGCCCATCCTATGTCCAAGGAGCCAATTATGTCCTCCATGATAATTATCGGGGGTCATATCTACGACACTCCAAAATAAACATCTGAATGATGTTCTAGGAGGGTGGCCCACACACTTCAAATTTCCTCCGCTTGTCGCTTTTTCTCTTATCCATGATCCCACTTTGTTAATCCAAGTAGCAGGACGAGGCCCCAGATCACTCCCTCCTTTGTGTTGTACTGCCTTGGTGACTTCCCTAGTGATCCCTCATTGCCTCTTCGCCAACCCTAATGCATCACCAACAATGAGTTGCTCCCCCATGGAAGGGCGCCGTGGTGAGCCTACAACCGCTCATTGGCCGTTAAACTTGGAAAGGGGGAAGGCGAATGCACCATGAGGGTACTCTCCTAGTTTTGGTGGATCGGGAAGGCTAGATTTCATCATAGATGGAGTTTCTCTCTGTGGGTCTTAGGCTCTCTCTCTCTCTCTCTCGTCCCTCACCTCGCCAACGGAAATTAAACCACGTCTTGCGATGGGTGTTATTGCTCACTTGCACTAGCTTGAGCCTACATTGGGCCTTACGAAGTATTATCTTAAGCTAGCATAATAGAATGCAAAGAGTTGGTGTTTGGTTGCTGGATGTATCTATTACCCTATGTTTGAATTTACAAATGTGACTATGCAAGTTTGGGTCACTATGTAAATTTGCACCAGATGCTTTTGCCATCCAATTTATTAACATAGTTCTATTCCAGACAATTGGATTAACTTGTGATAGAATATGGAGGAGCAACATCGACAACTCCGATTATTTTTAACTAAGTTTGCTGGTTCAGTACTGGGAAAGGCAGATAGCGAGCTTAACATTAAGTGCTTTAGAAAAAGACAAATAGTGAGCATAACAGACAACTACAACACTATTCCGGGAAAAGGAGGTTTCTCCATAGTGTACAAAGGGAGACTGGACGACGGCCGTCCAGTTGCAGTCAAAAAGTATATCTTTACGGCAAACAAGAAGGAGTTCACAAAAGAAGTAATTATACAATCTCAATTCAGCCACAAAAATATTGTCAGATTGTTGGGTTGCTGCATAGAAGCAGATGCTCCAATGTTAGTAACTGAGTTTGTCCCTAATGGAAATCTTTCTGACCTTCTGCACGGCAAGAATACAAGCCAACAAATACCCCTATCCCTGAACAGACGCTTAAAGATAGCCACAGAAGTAGCAGAAGCACTTGTTTACATGCACACCTCTCAGAGTCATCCGATCCTTCATGGTGACATTAAACCAGAGAACATACTTCTTGATAACAAGTATATGCCGAAACTCTCTGACTTTGGAATATCAAGGTTGCTTTCCATGGGTTCAGATGAATACACAGGATATGTTATTGGAAGTATGGGCTACATAGACCCCATGTTTTGTCAAACTGGGTGCCTAACAACAAAAAGTGATGTCTATAGTTTTGGCGTTGTTCTTCTAGAGCTCATCACAAGAAAAAAGGCTATTGATAATAACAAAAATTTCCTTGCAAAATCTTTTGGTCATGCTAAAACTCATGATTCTTTTGACAAAGAGATTGCTTCTAGTGAGAATATCAAGGTTCTTGATGGAATTGTTAAGCTTGCACTCGAGTGTTTAAAGTTCGAGTTAGAAGAAAGGCCAAAGATGAAAGATGTCTCTAAATGTCTTCGGAAGCTTCAAAGAGAGCAAGATGAAAAACTCATGATGATAAGGTTGAAGTCTTTCTTGAAAGAATCTGGCTTTACAAGATTCATCACTGATGAGCAAATATATAAGGTGACGAGCTACTTCAAGAATATTCCAACTGAATGTTTTATGGGAAAGTTGTACAAAGGAGACATGAACGGAATGCCATTTGTTGCAATAAAGATGTCATTTGAAGTTCACGATGAATCAATGGAGGAATTTTCCCGTCAGATGGTACTGCAGTCAAAAATTGACCATGAGAATGTCATTAGGTTTCAGGGCTGCTGGTTAGATCATCGTAACATGCCAATCCTTATTTATGAGTTTTCTAAGAGGAGCCTGCATGACATCCTTTTTGGCGATAGTTGCAAAAACTGGATAATTAACTCTGAAGAGTGTCTCCATATAGCAATATCTATTGCTACAGGTCTTGATTACTTGCATTAACTAGGCATTACCCATGGAGATGTCAGAACTTCGAACATACTTGTGGGAGATATTCCCCAGGGCATTTTTTTGAAGAATGTCCCAATAAAAATTTCAAGCATTGGAGCTTCTGTTTATTTTTCTATGAAAAAGTCTGCACAGGAAAGATTTGAAACAGAGGAGAACAATGGTTATATGGATCCCAAATTTCCTGAAAGTGGAGTATTGACTAAGGAGGCGGACATTTACAGTATGGGAGTTGTTCTACTGGAACTCTTCACATGGAAAAAGGTACCTAATAATCATATTAGAAATTGTGGGTTAGAGAAGCTCTTGGATGTGAAATTTTGTCGCCATCTTAAAAATCTTGCAAAGGTGATATCTGAGTGCTTAAATGAAGATGCAGAAAAGAGGCCAACTCTAAAGAGTGCGATCAGGTTGTTCAAGTGTGATGTGGAGGCGATCCAATATGATCGCCTAGATGCCAATTTCTGCGGCAACAGTTGTGCAGCAAGAATTAGTCAATGAATTTATGAAGATACCGCACTAAAATACCATTGTAGTACAACTGTGCAAAAGTCAGCTAATTGTAAAAGACTAGTATTAAAAATGGGTGGGGGGGGAGGTTTCACCGTTTATGTGAATATTTGCCTAAATAAACAGAATTAAAGACTATGGAGACCCTGCCTTTCCACTTCCAAGGTGGAGAGTGATATTTGCAATTTAGCTCCCGTTGACACAAAAATATGGCGATGTGATCAACACACAGCAAGCCGGAAGATCTGAGTGAAACGAGACTAGGGATCTGCTTTGCTTCAACACAGAACCAGTCGATTCTGAAAACCCAACAACGTGTCAGTCAATTTGACCTGCAATTGATAAGGAGAGAAAATTTTATCAGTAATTTAAGATGGAACATGTCGGTGTTACACCAAATAGTTCCAAATGTACAGCTAGAGAGCCGATTCAATGAGGCTATCGACTAAACAGTCAATATCCAGCGTATCCATGAAAATAGTATAACATGCGAACAAATCGACTGTCTGATATAAATGAATCTATAAACAGTTTAAATTTAATTTATCATCATCAACAGTGAGGTTCGATCGGATCGATGCAGCTATGATAATGATAACAAATTAAAGCCAAAGAATCTATAAAACCATCTATATGTTGACATATTTATGAAAACATGCTATATGCGTGAGGGTATAGGCAAATCGACTAAAATAACTGATGCAGTCATAGCAAACAAACAGAGTACATATGCTGATCATGAACAAGACCACTAATCGATAATTTCTAATCTAAAGTCTTACCAATGAGGTTCCATCGGATCGATGCAACTATGGTAGTGTCATTAGATTAGATCTTGTTAACTAATGAGTTTATTCAAGATTAAAACATGTTTTTGAATGCATACTATATTTGATTAGAATAGAAATAGAACAGCCGATCTAATATAATTAAGCCATCAATCATAAGATTTAAAGTGTGACCAGACTAGAAGACAACCAATTAAGATGATATGATGCCGATCTATCTGTATCTCAATCTGGTGATTTTGTTATAATTAAGAAAACATTAATTATAACAAGATCGATAACTGGTGGATCAATAAAAAATAGCAAGAAAATCCTACTAATCTTAGTACATTCGATAACTGGTGATATTGTATTAAACAACGAGTTATTTAACACAAGATCGATAACTTTGATCTATATTATGATTCGTAAGGAATCAATTAGCTGATACAGCCTTACAAACTACAATACAGATCGATAACTAACTTATATTATGGCTCATAAAAGATCAATTAGTTGATGCAGCTTTACAAGCACAATACAAGTCGTGACGGTACTCACAAATAAGCTGGAGGTCGATCAGTCGATGCAGCCCTGTTTGCTGAAGAACTTGCCGAGATCTACAGTATTCATATTCCTAATGCGATGGTGAAAGCCGAAAAGATTGTATCGATTGAATGTTCGTCCCCTTTTTACAATAATCAGGGTCTAATATTTATACCCAGAAGCTAAATATGAATCCTACTCAAATACGACTCATTACAATTCTTAGAATAAAAACAACTTCCTAACTTAATAATAACTTGAGCCCCAATTTTCCTTATTTGTAGAGTCTGACGCGTCTTCCTAGCGCCACTCAAGTATAGCCCATTGACGCCGTCTGCTGACGTCATCCATAAAATAGTCGATTCTGACATTACATCTAAATCAGCTGATACCGATTCTCATCCAATCAATTCCTTGATGACACAGTCTTGAAAGCTTCGAGTTACCTCGTTCTTCTTCCTAAATTTGGGTGTAAACAGCTCCTATTCTACTAGAGCTTTTTACAGGGAAATCAATGGTAGTAGGAAGTTTATCACTGAAGTACACCCCTGACCTATCAGCTATTTGTAATGTAAATGTCTAGAGAAAAGCTATTTGTGGTCGAAAAGTATTTATGTCTAATATTTGTAGTGCTACTATTGCTGCAAACGTTGAAAAAAATGTGCACATATATTTAAATAGCAGAACCTGTAAAGAATTATAAAAGGCAATTAAGTAAAAAGAGTTTTGTGTACACATGGCAAACAAAGTGACAGCCCGGTTTTAGTAGGCAACTAAAATCCCCCTTTCCACCGGATATGATTCATCCCACAAATGAAAAAACACCCTGCGCCTTTGTTCAATGTCCTCCTTTGTCAAAGAGGCGACCTGTTGTGCCGTCTTGTGATTGTTTTAAAAAGTCCGTCTATTCCTCTTCTTTCATAGGTTCCACATTATATAAACTGATATGCCATTGAAACGGCTGCGCTCTTGCTTTGGCACCTTTCTTGCTGTTTCATGCCGTCGGACATGGAAGCGGTGTCTTGGTGTGGCAACTGCACATTGAGATTTTCCCAAGATAGCACTTCGCCCCAAACAGTCCTCGCAAAGAGACCTGGTAGCGCATTTTTTGGCAGCTTTGTCGAGTGCCAGGGCAAAAGGCACTCGGCAAAGTGACCAAAATTTTTTGTTTTTTTTTGTTTTTTGCTTTCGATCACGGCAAACACAACATATGGAATATATATCACATCCATCACATATATACCACATCCAGCACCTTATATGTCACAATCCATCACACATACCACATGAATCACATCCGTTCACCACATGTCACAGTAATTCCATCCATTATTCGACAGGATTCCACATCATTCAACAAGTAGTTCAAATCCATCACCACATGTCACAATAACACATGCATGACAACAACATTGTCTCGGACAGAAATCCATTGCGAAGAGAACAAGACATGAAACTACAAGCGCTACTCACTGAAGCGGCCCTTGATGTGGCCATCCTGTTGACGACGGGGAAGGAAACATCTGCTCGTTCAGAGTGCCCTGAGCTGGGTTGTTCGAACCCGCCGACTGAGGCTGCACACAGGAGAAGAGATTGCATGAGACAAGATTAGTTGAATAGCGATTGTAGCAATTCCTTGCATGTGTGACATTACTCACTGGAGTAGCGGAGTGAGGAGGCTGAGGTGGACCCATTAACCCAGGAGGCATAGTAGCACCCGTCATAGTTTGCATCTAGGCAATAATGTCCGTCAACCTTTTCTCCTGGGCGAGTTTGTCGGCCTCCCGCGCGGCCCGCTCGGCCGCCAACCCCAGCTCCAGCTCCTGGGCCCTCCTGTTTGCTTCTTCCACCTGGGCCTACAAATTGTTGCAAAGCTAATGTTACAATAATGCAAAGGAAATAGAGTTGTGTAAAGATCAATGTACGACGAGTAAAACATGAATAACCTTGAGTGTGTCGACCCGGTGCTGTGAAATGCTCGGCCATGAGCGTATCGCCGGGAGTGAGGAGGCGATCGTGCTCTGTGCTCGGATCTAGGAGAGAGTGGGAGTAGAGGCCGTGTCGATCACGCTGTCGCCAATCCAGTAGCGGCCATGCTTCTTGCCTTGTCCAATCCTCATGATGGTGTTGGCATCAATGTTGTCGGTCCGTGGATCATACTCCGGCCCAGGCACTCGAGTTTGTGTACGCCTCAACCGGGTCATCCGGGTTGAAGGAGACGTCGGACGACGCCTTGCCCTTGTGTGCCATGGCAAATGCGGCGAAGTTGGAGCACTCTTGGCCTTGATGTGTTGCCGACTGCAAGAACGAAAACAAGATGATTAGAATTCTTTGCCGAGTTCAACGAAAGCAAGAAGAATAGAAACATGACCACGTACCCATGCTCGGGCGTATCCGGAGAGGTTGCGGTTGCCTTGATGGTGTGATACACCTGGCATGAACAAACGCCACTGCCGGGCAGCCGCGTGCTGAGCGGCACACTCCGCGCTTAACTACCTGTCCACCATCTTCGCCCAAGCCACGGGGCACCCGTTGCACCACCAAGGAATCACCTACACTCATCAAGTAGTTGACATATTAGAAAAACAAGTGATTCATACTTAATCTCAAAAGGAACCAATTTTAATGTTCTTTAGCTACCTCAAGGAACTAGGTTATACATATGCAAAGATCTGCATACTTCCAACCGTATCTCTTTCGGACGGGAGACGCCTAACTGGGTTACACCGATCTACGACAACGATAAGGAAGAGAGGTTATTTATACCTAGGGTGGCGGTGGAGTCAGGCTAGCGGGGCAGTGGCGAGTCGGTGCAGTGGCGAAGCGAGGCTGTGCAGGCAGGACCGCAGCATCGACGAAGACGATCGGGGTCGCCTAGGTACTACGGGTCCCCTCCGACAGGTCCTGCTCTGCAAAACAAGAAACACAACACTATAAGTTGAAAATTTCGGCAGAACCTCTCCTGTACAGGGAGGTTTCCAAAACCTGCAAAAAATAACGGCACGAAGGCCGACATTCACAAGGGCACGAAGGCCGACATTCATGACATTCACAACGGCACGAAGGCCGACATTCACGGCACGAAGGCCGACATTCACAAAGGGACGGTGCATATACCTTGGGCGGTGGCGGGACATGCACGCGCAGAAGAAGACACCGAGAACTCCTCCTCCTTCCTCCTCCTTCTCCTTCTCTTCCCCTTCCTCCTTCTTCCTCCTTCCTCCTCTCCTTCTTCCCCTTGTTCTCTTCTTTTCCTCTTCTTCTCCTTCTCTTCCCCTTCCTCCTTCTCCTCTTCTCCTTCCTCCTACTTCACCTCTGCCTCCTCCCCTCCAAGAACCGACGGTGAGGGGGGGGCGGGCTAGGTGCGGCCCCCACGGGGAGGGGAGGTGAAGGCGGCCCTCCCTCTCCTTTCCGAGCGACAGTGGGCCACCGGCGTTCAGTGGCGCCAGCGAGGAAGCGGGTGGGGTGCGGAGGGGAGGGGAAGGGAGGAGAGGAGGCGGCTGGGTGGGGCAGGCGGGCAGGCGGAGTCGGGGGCGGTGGCGTGTGGCGTGGGTGGGCAGTGGCTGGCGGGCTGTGGCGGGCGTGGCGGTGGTGTTAGGGGCGCAGGCGGGACGCAGTGTGAGGATGGGGGCGCTGGGGTGTTGGCGGTGGCGGGGCTCGGCATGGTAGGGGGGGCGG